TTCATCCTGTTTTGGGGTATATTGTAAGAAAACGTGGTATAATTATATTGACCATGAATATTACCCCGTTTTATTTAAATAACATACATAAAATAATAATAAAAAATACCAGGCATATAGTTTTGTACGACAGACGCGCGTTTCGTGTATATAAGACTCATCAGTGACGCTCGGATAAAAAGGGTTAAAAGGATTTCCTTTTCAAGTGGCACTGATCAATAAAAATTCATACAAAAAAAGTCAATTTATGATACCTAAAAATAATCAACTGATGCACTGTCAACGTAAATCTATTCCGCCTAACAGAAATTCCACCAGAAACTTTGCCATAAACAATGTCATAATATCTGTTCCTGTTGGAACAAATATTCTATACCATTTATTCCTTTAGGAACATTTACTGTAATATTTATTCCAGTGGAAATTATATTCCAGAAATCTTTTTTTCCATTTGGAACTTCTATTTCGTGACACCATCATAGATGTAAATGAAATGTTTAAATTAAAACAACATTTCTTCTCGTTTATTTTTCACACAGAGGCTTTCTGCTAATATGTTGGAAAAACCGTTGAAAATTGTTGAAATACTTATATATTGTATAAGTTTTTCCTAACACTACAAAGAACTTATAAGGAATATCTTTATTCTAGGTAGATTCGGGTTCTCGCGCACATGTCTGGTATATCTGAAATAATGAAAGAGGTTTCTTGTTTTAGCAACTTGTTATTTAGAATATTTTTCATCAAAAGAAGGACACATCTACTTTTGCCACACCAAAAAGAGACATAACTGTTAAACATGCAGTCATATGTAAAGGTTATTTTTAAGATCGTTGTTGTCGATGTCCAGAACGAATATACTAGACCATCTGCCTGTAACCCTGAAATTTTAAACTGCAAGAACAGAGACTAACGAGTGTATATTTAAAATCTCTGACAAAACTACGTCTCAAACCACTTCTGATGTTTGAATTACCTCAATGTAGCTGCACCAGACTCTTCAATAGTGTGCACAAAACACATTATAAGTAATAATCTCCAAAAACCTTAAACTTACTCAAATTAGTTTAACAGTGTTAACGGAACAAATCAAAACAACACTGTGTAGTCCACCTCCTCAACAGATAATTAAAGTGAAGGAATAAGTTAAAATGATACTCCTACGAAAGCACATTGCACATTTCGTGGTTCAAGCAAGAAGTGAGAGAAAACTAAAAAGGGTACCAAATAATTTTAAGTCCTTCAAAACGGTCAACACCAAGAAAAAAAACAGACTAAAATGCAAACAACAATAACAACTATGATTGGCAGAATGCAGTTCATATCATTTCAGGTTGAAACAACTGGAGGAAAATTCAAATGATACTGAGGATGTAGAAACACCCCTAGATTAAAAAGGTAGACAGCGCAGTTTATCTCTCTCAATAAAAGTACTTCATCTGAGAATATTTAAACTTATGTTCATTTTTTTCCCTTATGCATCGCCAGTAGTATAGGCCAATTGCATAATTAGTGATGTATATTCAAAATTTAAATATGTAATGAATTAAGTCTTCTTGTTCTTTGTGTATCTCCGTCAGAAACTTCAACATGAGCACAAGGAAGACAGGTTTTTAAAAGAACAAACTGCTTATTCTATAGTACGCTCAATATAAATGTCGCAATACATACCTGTACGCTGTAAATACCAGATTCATTTTCAGAAAACTCTTACATCTGACTATATTCAACCATATTCTAAAGATAAATGTATCATTTTATAGTCATCGACGATTTAACTGTCCATACATTTAACCCTGATTTGAGAAACAAGTCCCAAAATGAAAACAACTACTAAGTCGAGAAAGGGTAATCTAACTTTATATGATTGTACCGAAACAAGCAATGCTTAGCCTGGTAATGGCATATATTGTTCTTTCAGACACTTTCAAACAAGAAGATCAAAGAAGCCAGATCACTTAATTTCACATTCTGATATATTGATGATGTTATTTCCATTAACAATCCAGACTTTTCTGATTGGGTTCCATTAATATATCCTCCAGAACTAGAAATTAAAGAAATAACAGACACGGCTTCCTCCGCCTCATTGTTGGACTTATACCTCGAATTTGACATCAGTGATCATCTCAGTACCAGAACCTATGACAAACGAGATGATTTCACTTTTAAAATTATAAATTTCCCCCACCTTAGCAGCAATATACCAATTCACCTGCATATGGGATATACACTTCCCAACTCATTCGGTATTCAAGAGCTTGCAGCTGCTACTCGGACTTTATAAAACGTCACAATGTCTGAGCAGAAAGTTGATTATTCAGGGTTATGTCAAAGAACGTCTTGTCCTTTTTCTAAAAAAGTTCATCGGAAGATACTAATACCTTGTTGATAAATATTCCGTATCAACTTCATAAATAATATAAGATGGTCTTGAAGTAAAGACTATGTACGCAAATTTTTTTTATCATCTAAATCACGTGTTATAGTGTTCTTTTTATTTGTCTTTGTATGTTTTAACGTTTACTGTTTACTCCATTTTTGGTATATACTTTTGGCGTGGCTAGGTATTTATACATCTCGCCATTGTGTTATTGTGCTATGACTATTTTTGTTTTCTTGTCTTTCATTTTTGTTTATGTACTTTGTCTACAGAGTGTTTATATGCCAGTTTGTTTTTCTTTGTTTATATAGTTATTTGTTGTTATAGTGATTAAGATTAGAACACAATATTGACTGCTGTATCCCAATTTTTGACATTTTTTTCGCCTATTATGTCTGTTTTTTTTGCACACAAATTGTTGTCAATATAATGGAATGCAATATGACTGTCATACAAGCGAGAGGTTTCGCTAGCTATTAAACCAGGTTTGATCCACCTTTCCTACATAAGGAAATGCCTGTACCAAGTCAGGAATATGACAGTTGTTTTCCATTCGCTTGATGTGTTTGAGCTTTTGATTTTGCCATTTGATAAGGGACTTTCCGTTTTGAATTTTCCTTGGAGTTCGGTATATTTGGTATTTTACTTTTTACAGGATTAACTCTTTTGAATTTATGTATCCCTTTATTTTTTTCTTAGAAACTGCATGACAGGTAACGAGGTTGTGAAACAATATCCTTTTTTTTCGGAAAACAGCTTTCAAACGAACTAGAATTCGATCAAATAAAATCCTTTGTTGAAAAGTAATTGGCCTTCAAATGAACACATTTTCAATTTTGGCTCGTGGAACTACAATCATATTGATGAGCTCCAACGTAATCTTTTAAGATACTTTAGGAGCATTCAAAATGAAAACTATTGACTTAAGAGTTATAGGGGATTTTGTCATCCATTGTCACCCTTCCGGAGTACATGAGATCACCCTCGGATAGGTTAGGTTCGTGTTGCTCAGTCTTTTGTTTCCTATGTTGTGTTTTGTATACTGTTTTTTTTGTTTTTTATTGGTTTTTTGTTGCCATGGCTTATCAGTTTGTTTTCGACTTATGAGTTTAAACATCCCTTTAATATCTTTCGTCTCTCTTTTTAAATCAGTCCAATTACATTTCTATCACCATTTATGATAGCTTAATATAAAATTACAAAGAGTTATTCATCCTTTGTCGTATTGCATTGCGTTCAAGTAAATGATACTTTATAAATGTGTGCGTCTGAAGCGCTTTTCTGAATCTACCTTCATCAGGAACTCTTAGACCGAAACAGTTGTAAAGCTAAGGATGTATGATAACCGAATAAGTTAAGAGAAACAAGATAAAAAGGGACATAAAATAGTAGCCAAATTCAACTTACCTGTCTAATGCAAACTTTGTCTGAGGGTGTTGGAACCTTAGTTTCTTAATAATTCTTTATAACGAAGAATTTTACAAATATTGTAATAAAATATGTCATCCGAATAAGTAGGTATTGATTAACTTGATTATGTAAAGAGTTTTGTTAATTTGAAAATTTCAATCAAGTAAGATATGTTTGGAAATTAATTTTCAACACTTTTTTTTTATCCATATCGAACAAGTAAGATGAATGTTTTTTTAAATTATAGATGGTTTTATATACCAGCAATAGACGTATTTATAATTGTATGCAAAGTTATCTACAATTAATATTACATCACAATTTAAGATATTTGACGTCATAATTAAAGAGTGATTGTTGCATGACGTCAGAAGGTTATTCGGAGACAGAACTAAGGTCTTTCCAAGACAGGGGTCATTCGGAGATAAATCTAGTATAGATTAGCGAGTGCTGTCCCTAGCTTGTTAAGCTAAATACTAAATACCCAAAAGGTTAATGACATCCACTATATCGCAACAGCACAAGTTTAACTCTCTAAACTTTGACCAAAGTATATAATTGGTATCATTTATGCATTAATAAAACTAGGAAAATGGTGTTTGGTCTACGTTCTTGTAATTGCAACCTAACACAAACAAAATAGTTCACTGGTTCTTAGGTCTAGAGATCCAGAGTTTTAGAGTTCAGCATAGTCTTTTAACACACTAATGCAAGTGTCTATACCACTATATTAACTTAACACTCTTTAACGATCGCAAAAACGTCTAGATTTGACTAATTGTGAATAGATATCACAAAATCTACCAGTGATCTGGCAATAACACTAAAATTCTAAAAGGAACACGAAAATGAAATTATAGACAACCAGTTCCGTGATTTCCGACTAATCTTGTGGAGGGGTTAAACTAGTGTTTTGAGTATTCAACATATACATCTCTTAAGGGTAACTACTAAAATGAAATAACCCAAGACACTGATTTTACAAAAAAAGCACTGCAATGTTTGTACAGTATCGATAAACCTTAATCAATTCTAGAGCTATAATCGGATATATTTATCATATAATATAACAGTTATGATACTTAAGGTAGAGATCAAGTAAATGCTGACTTTAGTAAATGGTTGTACTATTTCTTTGATCTGTACATGTATTTACATACATGTACTTAAAACCAGGTGACTGTGTAAAATATAAAATATTTTAAAAAATATGACACATTTCCCTGCTTCAAACATTAATAATTTATTGATAACAATTTACAAGTAACAACAGACAATTCACACATAATCTTGTATTCTGTATAAATGTGAATAATATAACTGTGTAAGTACAATTGCACTAGAGTTAACATGATTCAAATAATAGTATTGCAGTGTTTTTGCAAACTTTCAAAAAAGTTTACGTATTGGGGGTACAGTTGAGCTCTAAAATTCGTTTAACTTTCAACGCGGATTTTAGTATGTATGAGATTAAACGAACAATCGTACTTTTCCTATTCTTGCATTGCTAAAAGAAATAATGAAATTTACGAAGAATAAATGAATAATGACTCTTTGAAATTGATTGAAAGGGTTGAAACTTGATTTGTCACTTTTTGAAAATCCGTTGTAAATGTTTTTTTTTCTGAAACTTCTATCAAAATGACAAATCTAAAAAAAATGTTGATGTTTTGATTTATTTTATTTATTTAATCTAACCATTATCCATGTAAGAAGAACATTTCTAAAAGATCTTCCTCGCTGTATCCTATCTGATAGAGATATTTGCATTGGCATGGACGATTGTAATATGAATAAACATTACATACGGGTCTTTTAATGATCATGAAATTGTTAACAAGAATACATTTACCAACAGAACGGATAAAAACTAATACAAATATTAACAAATATGAAAATATATTTGCTCGGCCATTTGGATTGTTTGACTTTTGAAACATGATAACCTTAAGACTCTTTTTCTAGAATAAATAGAGAATATCTTCGCAAATATTGTAATACTGCAAATAAAATATTGCAACGGTTTTCATTGATTGCAATCACCGAAGATCAATTGTCTTCCCATTTACAAAATGTGCATGTTTTAATGTACAAAACCGTTTGTTATATTATATTGCTGGGCATCAACTATAACACTGGTATATCCGGCTTGAGGTACCATTGGATACTGTCTTGGGCTTGAAGCTAAGGATGATTGTTCATAATTTGAATTATAAGAATCATAAGCACATGCAGCCCTTAGACAGTGAGAATAAATGTCCTGTGTGTTTAGAGTTTTGTCATTTATGGCACGTATTTCAGCATATTTATTGCAAGAAGTTGGGTCATTGATATAGCAGCTACTATTAGATCCAGAGCACTTGGATGCATCTTGATTGTTTTGATTTGTGTCTCCGGTAGGTGGAGTGATATCTGTTTTCTCCGATTCTACACAGTAATCAGATCGTCTCATTATAACAGATTGTTGTACTGTGTCTCTATGCGGAGAAGTTCTGTTTTGCACTTCCAAAGATTTTTTGGGAGATCCAAATTGTTCTTCTTTCACTCGGGGAGAATCATATATACTGTCATATTTATTTTGATGATTTGAATTTCGTTTGTCGGTTTCTTCGTTGACTACATCAACATCGGAAACGGACGATTCAGATCTATTACTATATGGGCAGCTGTACCCTTGAGCAGTTCCGAAAGACGTTTCTCGACTACTACTTCTTGAACATGGATTTAAATTTCGGTAGTCAAAATGAGGAGAGGTCGATGGAGTATCTGTACTTTCACCATAATGAGTCAGACGAGGACTGCTAACGTCATTAATACTGAGTTGGTAGCCATTTTGATATCCGAAATGATGTAACTTATTTTGGTCACTAAGTTTGTACTGAAATTTTTCATCAGCTAACCGATGGTAGTTCTGATATGGTAACATTTCAGATATGAAATTTATGTTAAATTGTGGTCCATATAGTCCATTATATTTATCAAAATTTTCACAAGTTTGTATGGAGTTAACATATTCCTGAGAACTGATATCCGGGACATACTCGATTCTATCGGAAGTTGGAATTCCGGAGTAGTCTGGATTTTCTGCAATATGAGGATATGGGGATGATCGTCTTGACCTTGACTTAGGTGTCCTCATTTTACCTTGCCTGTTTTGAAGTGCATCAATAGGCAATATATCTTTATTAATAGTTTGTTCAATCTGTATCTGTAAAGATTTTGCTTCAACATCACTAAAAAAGAAATTATGTATAATTTTAATCGTTTTTTATGTATTTGTACACTTTGTCTTTTAACGTATCTGTTACCTGCATTTTGGTTTACAAACAGTTGCGGGCTTTATGATGGTTCAGATACACAATTATTGAAATAATTAGCTATTAAAATTTTTTTACAATAAAAATCAGCATTTCATTATGTTATTCTATAAATAACGTTTCCTGAGATAAGCCTGGTAGTTTTAACAGTCTGTTCGGGACACATTTGGTCTCATACTTCAAATGTCTTTCACTTGTATGCATGAAATCGTTTGGTATGGATCATGCCCGAAGACATTCAGTGTTTTTTATTATAACACGTGTCACCAATAATAATAAAGGCACCATATATGCTTCTCTAAATCCTAACCGATTTATATATGTAAACTAAGTTTTGAATCTTCATATACGCTTCTCTAAATTCTCACCGATTTATATATGTAAACTAACTTTTGAGGCTTCATATGTGCTTCTCTAAATTCTCACCGATTTATATATGTAAACTAAGTTTTGAGGCTTCATATGTGCTTCTCTAAATTCTCACCGATTTATATATGTAAACTAAGTTTTGCGGCTTAGAATAAAAACAATAAGTGGTATGGTCGTTTTCAGTTGTTATTAGTTGGTACCTAATTAAAGGTTAAAGATTCCTGGCTGTGCTTTGGTTCGTCCCACCGTTAGAGCTCCAAAAATGAAACTTGCAGCCCATTGGATGAAAATATCTAACTTATGAAGATCGGTAATTATAGTCTCGTTTATAGAGTAGTAATGACACTCACCTAAGAACATAATTGACACTGACTATACAATGTGGTCTTGAAGAGCGACTATTATGGACTATTGTAGCATAGCTCTGTATCCAAACCCAACCACCGTTCTTTGACAAAAATCTGTAATACTTAGTGGTCACCTGTCCCTTCAATAATACTGAAAGTATACAGAAAATTTAATAATGACTTAGCATGAAATTAAAGAATCATAACTTATACTTTATATATAATTTAATGATTTATGACTTAATTTTTAATAAAAACAAGCGGATATTGTTTTCTACTACCACTGGTTCAATACTGACACAGGTTGTCTGTTAACTGCTACCAGCAGTATTGGCGCCAATATGACACATGTCAATATGCAGTCAAAATTCACTTGTCGTATGAATTGGTGAGTGTATGAAGAATTGTAGCTTTGTGTGCACCAATTTTCTTACATTTAAGTTTTGAAATAAATATAAATTTTTTTCCTGAAATTCAATAATACAAAATCTTCAGTTTCTTCACGTGCTAATGAGTTCCCCCTATATTTACATAACTGATGCAGCATGCCGACCTTGAAAAAAGAAGATCAACAAAATAGACAGGAATAGGGCATATACATTACCAAAATAATTTATCCACTTTAAGCCACATCAAAATCGATTTTCAATGTCGTGGCCATTTAATTTTACGAGCTGAACACGCCAATTTGGACTTAAATGGTTTGTTGTAATGGAAATCAATCTCAATTAATAGTCGTGATCCTCGACCTCTGTCAATGATCTATGTTATATCATTTATTGTTAGAACCGTCAATCCTATTCACGCTGGGATCGTCATCGTCTAACATTACCTGAATTCTGTACTGATACAATACAGGTGTTCAACAGGTATTATGACAGAAATTGGTCCTCTGTTAGTGGTATAATTTTTACAAGGATTTTTTTCTTGCCCAATTGTCTTTCAAATTTGTATTCACTGCAGTATGTAATTTTCTGTCTTTTTTAGCGCGATTACAGATTTCTTGGAAACATGTGTATGAATAATATCCAATTATTTCCTTCACAAGTGACTGGGTCTTTAATTGGGAGAAAATCATTTAGTTTTTAAATATGCCTTTGAAAAAAAATTACTATTAAATTATAATACAAATGTTATTGACCCTGTGAAATTTAGCTTTCCAACATGTGATTCTTTAACATGGATTTTTCAGTGAAATCTCTCCAACATAATAGCTTTGAAAACGATGTGTTATATTTGTTAAATATCCATAAAATGTGCGTTCAAATATTATTTTTGATTAATCGCTAGATTTAGGAGTTTGCCTTTTTCTATAAGTGTTACTAGTTTTAATACTTAGCCATTTTTTTTTTATTAATGTAATGTATTTTCTCCTTTATCTACTTTTATGCATTTAAAAGCAAAGATGACAAAGCCAGACTAAGAAAGGATGTAATTATAAAAGACAATGAGGGAATTCCTGAGACAGAGAGGACATTGACCTTCATGTACGTTTTGTTTTCACGTTCTTCTTCCTTCATATATCTTGCTTTTAACAACAACAACAACAACAACAACAACAACAACAACAACAAACAAAAACCTTAAAAGTCTAGTTCAAACATATTTCATTTGGCCAGAGCAAAATGAATAGAAATAATCTACAACTTTTTTGATTCGAGCGTCACAGATGAGTTTTTTGTAGCCAGTTTTTTGTTTCTGGCGTACAACATTATAATCCGTGTATTTTTACAATAAAAAAACTTACTTATTTAGTTCTTCCCCCCTTCAGTACAATATACAAAAAGAAAACATCCCGTTGATAAAGCATGAATTCATTTGAGAAAAAAAAATGCATAGCTTGTCGAGCATTTTATAATATGGAGAGCAGATAAATATCGGTAAAATTGTAGAATAGGTTTCTCTAATAATTTAATTGAAAACACCGGGCATAATGTTCCGATTTAAGGTAAAATTGGATTAATTAAAAGTACAAGAAAATTATGACAATTCGTTTTTTAATTGCATTTATTCTTTAATACAAGAAATGTTATAATTTTTAAAGGAAATTAAAAAAAGGTCAAGAGTTCGATAAGTTGATTACAAAAATTAAGGGGATATCGATTTGGCTATAAAATCATAATTTGAAGAACAGACGTCAATGCCCAAAATAAATAAAGGACGAAACGACAAACAAATATCAACAAAACAGTACTGTAACACAGAAAAATGAAAATGAAAAATGATAAACACGAACCCTGTAAAACACGGCACGTGTTGAACCGGATATTACGAATGGGTTAGCAGTTTCCGCTATTCTAATGGCACATTTTGTGTGATACGTATTAAAATCCTCAAAAGTAGCCATCGTAAACATTTGAATAGCCATGGAGCTGGTAAAATCCAAAAGACATCTTATGTAGGATCAAAATAATATTAGCTATGAATACTGTCAAATTTAAAGAAAGACGTCGGATTCGACTCAATACACAAAACAATATGGTTATGCAAGAAAGAGGTAGACGATACCAGAGGCAGAATCAAAAATGATAAGTGGAAGCGAGGCTGACAAAATCATGGAAAAAAAGCGGGAAATGACGAAAAGACTGCCAAACAACAGTCTACAAAACACTCCATAATAAACTAAAGACTGAACAGCATCAACCCCGCCAATATCAATATTATTATTCTAATGTAAAATATTTAGATAAATATAGATTATACCACTGCATCGAGTGTGATACGATATTTATTCACTCGAGACAGTTAAATTTTCAAATTTAAAACGCGAGGCTCGCCGAGCGTTTTAAATACTTAAAATTTAACTGTCGAGAGTGGATAAATATCGTATAACACGAGATTTGGTGGTGGAATCTGTTTCTCTAATGATTTTCAAACAATACGCAGGCAAATTTATTCCTTCTTTTCGAATGATCTGCAAAAAGATGTGTTCTTTCTATGTGACGTCATCAGGCATGGTCGCTTTTTTTCATGCCGTCACAATAGGAAATTCAGAGGAAAGCAAGAAAATTCGACGTCATAATCGGATTTTAACCAATGAAGAACTGAGATCAAACGAAATTTTTTTTATACAATGGGTGCAGAAAGGGATAAATTGACGAAGAATTAGAGAAATAAAAATAACTCACATGTGTGATGAGCAATTCTCATGTGAAGAATATCAAATGCATGAATGTAATGATACAGAGTTCTTTCTATGAGGTCTTGTGGTTCGTAGCCAGTGAGTGCAGCCACTCTGCAAATAAGCACAAGAAATGTCAATTTAGCAAACAGTTTCAAATTTTGCATATCTAAATTTTAAATAAGTAACATTCACTTTGCATTTTGTAAACAATGTATCCTTAGTACAGAACCAAATCGGATATATCATGGACCATTTTGATTTACAGAATATAATGCATTCTGGGTAATAAATTCAAAAGCGGATACGAAAATATTGTGATTGTTGACAATGTCATTAAAAATGGAATTGGAACAATGGCCTAAAGTTATTTTCATTTTGGTGTATGAACAATGTATAAATTCAATGGATTGAGAAACGGTGAATTTAAGCACAATATATTTCATTTGGTATTCTTAAATATAATCTTAAATGCTTACACTCTCTCTCGGTCAAAAAAAAAATGTGTATATAAATAGTGCAAAACTTTCAAAGAAAACAAAAATTAAAAACAAAATTAAAACATACTCTCTTAATTAGGAGAATGGTATCGAAAAGTCCAATGCATTATGAATATCACGACATATTGCTAAATCAAAATTTAATAATTTCTATATACACATGTATATATATACCTGGCATCTAGGAAAATAAGTTTGAGATCTAAGCTTGCACGAAACATGAACATATTGTTAAACATTTTGATTTCAGTTATGGCACTAGGTGGTAGAGAATGACCAACGGCAACCAGCCCTACATTCTGGTAACAGCTGTCGTATGGCGACATCTCCATATTGAACTGTTTGACTTTCAAATAGCCACTACAATGGATCACCTTAAAAGAACGTATATAAAAGTTGAATTATTTCTTGATATTTTCGTATTTTTTTTTAAGCATTATTATAATTAATATGTGTCATTTTATAGTCTTCATAGTTTTCTCAGTTGAATTGTTTCATATTTTTCATGCCGAGGCCTTTTATAGCCGACCATACAGTATGGGTTTTCTCATTGTTGAAGGCCGTACTATTGCCTATAATTGCTTACATCCACTTCATTTGAACTTTGGTGGATAGTTGTCTCATTGGCAATCATGCCACATCTCCTTATTTTTATATTCATGATTAGGCTGCACTTTTAATCTTTGTATCTATTTATTTACGCATGTTTTTTTCTAATGCATCAGGCATTCGGAAAAAAAAATAATACAATTCCAAAATGTTTCGAATTTTAAAACGTACAACTATAACACCAAAAATTACCAAGCATGTATAAGTCATATGTATCTATTTCACTAAATTAATAAAACTATAATAAGAATGACAAAATTTTGGCTTTCATTAGACATCATTTAGTATAGAATGACAAAATTTTGGCTTTCATTAGACATCATTTAGTATATTTTATTTTATTTTATTTTCCACATACAATGTTGCATAATTGTCTTTCATAAATGTTATTTAAGGGTGTTTGCCAGAGGCGGCTCCAGGGGGTCGGGTGTCATCCTTTGTGGCAGAATTTTTGTATTTAGTGGACTTTCATTGTGTTTAACCTCTTGACCTTCCCTTGATCTTCAGTAGGCCATATTCACTTTTTGAAAATCCTCTATCCGAAAATGCTCCAGGTAAAAACCATAAAAGTAAATGTAGGATTCCTTCTTCCTCCTCCCCCCCCCCCCCCCATTTACCCCAACGTGCGACATATAACACGATGTAAATGCATTTAGTTGCTCATTAAACTAAAGTCCCAGTCTTTGTAAGAATCAGGCAATTTAGAAAAATTTCAAAATAAGACCGAAAAAAACCCAACCGACCTTACCATCCTATTTTGAAGTTACCCTCATCCTGAGTTAGAAATGGTAGGTCTTTTGTTTCTGCTTGTCTGGTAATTCGAGAAATCTCTAGATAACTTTTGGTTAATATAATAGCAAATTACAGAGTTCGCTCCCCCTAATTGTTAATTTCTAGTGCATTTCAGCCAGATTATATCTTGGATTACCAGAATAAGAAAAGGAAACTAATGTTATATTCATGCACCATTATACAATTTGAACATAAATTAATGTCAACTTGAATGGGTTTTTGTTTGTCATGTTTTAACCACTGCCTGATTCTTGGGTAGATTGGCACTTAAATATCAGTTAAAGATAAGATAACTTGAATGTGTGTATATTGTACCTTATATCCCCCGCACGTTAAACCAGCATTTCGTTTGGCCAAAACACATTTCATTCGGATGAAGAAAGAACGTTCAACTTCAAATTCTGAAATAAAGAATAAAATATTAAAAACTGAGCGGTTAGTTTTTTATTTGATTTCAGAGTGTCAGACGTATTTTTAACACTGCAAATGGGTTTTTAAAGTTTGTTTCTGTACACTAGTACGTCTAATACTTTTCTAACGAATATAATATATGTTAAACCCACTTTGTTCGTAAAACTTAAAATCCGATAACGCATGCATTGCTCTTCAATTCATCAATAAAAAATGAAACTATTATAGAGAAAGCATTTGACTGTTTATAAGCGATGACAAGCATATCGATAAAACTGTCGATGGAAATATTTGCCTGTCCTATCGATATTTATAGAGGCCATTGATATCGAAGATGGTGACGTACAGTTGTTCATCAAATCTTTGAAATTCTGAAATTGTTTTTAACACATCGATATCCTAAAATTAGTTTTGTGTGTTCATGTGGGCCCATATAACACTGACATTTCAATAAAACAGAGAGACACAGACACAGACACAGACATGGACAGAAACTAACAGAAGACTTTTAAGACTCGGTTTTACATATTGTATACAACTATTCGAGTGATTAACTTCTATTGCTTGCCAGTAGTGCATGGTCTCGCGAGGACGGCACGAGGCCTTGCATATTTATATAATTAAGTCATTGGTAGTGAAGTTGGTCAGACAGGAGCAGCAGTTTGAAAGACAATTATATAATTTGCTTTTAGCGAGTCTGACCTGTTGTATACATATACACTAATTGTTGACCTCTATAGGTATCTTGTGTCGTTGGATTGTATTCTTGACGTCATCATGTTGTAAATGTAATAGGTTTTATATTGTGAGATTTTGGTGGATTTTTGGTGAAAGGGAAAATAATACTTATCAATTCTTTTGGTAATTTTTCTTTTGGTAATTTAGGGAGTGGCTAATTTATATACTTACCATGACCAAAATGTCCTTGGTATGGCGGTGCCAGTGTCAGCACAGCGGTCATTTCATCATGGTCTGCAGGGTGTATATATTCATAAACACTGTTACCAGTCAGTTCAACCTGTAAATAATTACTGGTTTATAGACATGCTTAAAATAAACTTTGATAATTTAAAAACGCTGATTGCAGTGAGTTGGAATAATCAGTTTCCTTTTTTTTTTAGACTTTTGTCAACAATCGATGAGGGCGATTCTGAATTTTATAATCTGTGCCCAATCCATTTGTCTTTTTTTCCAATAAAAAAATTGTTCAACTAAACTGAACACCGAAAGACATTAATATTCTACCTATGTGTGTATGAATTAAAAAAGGGTTATTTAAAACAATATTTATTCAGACTAATCATCACAACGAAATAAATATCTAGGATTCAAAAACAAGCAATTCAAAGTTGCTTTTGCCATTGTTCTTAGTCTCATATAAAAAAAGTTTAAGAGTTTAAGAGTCCATACAGACCCTAAAATTCCATTAATTTTGATTTAGTAATAATCATATACTATTATTTAAAATATGTAAAGTTATGACACATTATAAGTGTTTAAGATTTGGGTAAAAATAAATATCTGACAAATACAAAATTAACAATTTTTGGCAAATAAAATCAGTTTTAATGTAATTGCAAGGTCATTTATATGCATTTTAATGTTAAAAATTCATGCTTTATAGAATACTGGTCAAATGCATGGGAAAGGAAATTTGATCTCTGTAACGAAGGCCAGAATCTAGGACACGAAAAACGCGAAAATATAACCCTACGATCAGGTTCGGCTCTTAAAATTGCGAAATTTAAACTCCGCGAAAAAAAACCACGTTAAAGCATTGCATTTTTGCGTAATTTAGATAGTATGTATCAATTAGATTGAAATATGTCAAAGTAAACATTTCGGTATCAATTAACCTTAAAATACATGACAAATAAATAATAATTAATAAATTTTAAAAGTTAAACATAAAATGTACGATGTTTGTTAAATATTAGAATTATCAGTAAGAACAGTTGGCTGTATTGTCAATGTCAAATTAACTAAAATTTTCTATTTTATGATTTTGAGATCGCTCTATATATCGCTCATGGTTTCATTACGATGAAAACGTGATTTCGAGATACAAATGCTTACTTGTGACAATCCAAGATGGACGGAAGCTGTTTCAGATATGTACATGATTTTCCCATCCGGTGCTATCACAAATATAAAACCATCTAACGTCTGAAAGAATAAAATTTGTTAACACTATAGTAATATGACTTAAATAGATATATATGTATACAATATATTCATAAGTTCCACTTAATACGTCTGTAATGTACAAAATAAAGTTGCAAAAATGCCTCAAATATACAAAATGAGAGATATCTGGGTGTTGGATATATATATATATATATATGTGTACACTAAAACGTGCCTTTATATACAATATGAGCACTTCTTTTTTTCATATCATACAGACAATCTGAAACATATTACGATCTACCGGGAATGGCTGTCAAAGCATTTTTCGTAGGTCTTTTTTTCATTCTGGTCGATTCTAACACTTACACACACTAGTTAGAAATCGATGTCTAGTTTCAAAGTGATTCCTTTTCCCATATATTATTGTATCTGGCCAAATATAGTTCTTGTTAAAATACACATCAATTGCAATAATCTTGGAATGTTGCCGTTAAGTGTCATGTGATAAAAACCGAATAGAAATAGAGCAGATTTGGTGTAGGATTTCATTTTAAACAAGAAAGCCTCAAGCACCAAGCACAATACAAATTTCTAAGAACATTTAAATATTAAATTAGAGGTATTCAAATGTCAGTAAGGTGCACGTGCATAAGCAACATAAAACAACAACGAATAATATATCCAAATTAATGATTATGACGGAAAGGAACCATAAAACGTCCAAAACACAGAATCAGAGTAAATTAAAGAAACGAAAATGGGGAGGCAACACAATGTAACAATAATAAGGACAAAAACAACTCTCAATAAAAGCGTGTGTAAAAAGAGCTGGAAAAGTTTTTTTTTTTTTATTTATATACAATGAGGCCTGTTTAATTTCCGATGCCAAAACAAAGTTCTTTCATTTTCCTTTTTCATTTCAGACAAAAGACCATCCGTCTGGCAAAACGACAGCATCAATATGAAAATCTCCTTTGTTCTTAATAAAATGGCATTATCGGATGTCGTTTAATAAAATAAAAACAAATTACGGGCAAATCCCGTTCTGTTATCCGCCTAGTAAGATAAAAATAAATGATGTTTTGCGAGCTTAAGCTTAGTCAATTGAAAATCAATTAAAGCGCCTTCTTACTGAAGCTGTCAATTTGAAAAGCTTGACTGAATAATGATTAGAATAGAAATTAGATACACGTAAAATCACTTTCTTTTACTTTTATCAGTCTCTTTCCAAATGGCGGGATAAGAAGAAATGGAAAGTAGATTTCTTAATTACCATTTAAATTATAAGGAAATACAAGACGCCAAAACCGATTACTATTTGGTGGTATAAAAAGCGTGAAGGAAATTAAAAATGGGCCAATTCCGGTGTTTTGTGGCTCAAATTAAGCTCACTATCGCGAGGTAATTGTTTGATGCTCTTTACATGTTTTCTAGCAATATTAATTGACGTTTGGAAGTAATTTCTGTCAAAAATTCCGATAAAAAACGTTGTATATTTCAACGGAGAACTGAACAAGAAAATTGTTTTGATATGTTAAAGCTGCTGAAAGCTTATTAATAAATACCGCGTTTTGCATAAATGTGTCAAAACTTTTTTTTTCCCATACCGATATATACATAATATAAAATGTAATTTGGTTTTACAGATAAGTCTGGCAGAACCTGAATACGTTATCCCTAGCTTATCAAGAGTTATGATGAAAACGATTATGATGACCTACACTAGATTAATGCCGTAGAATACGAGACAATTACTGAATTACAAATATTTGTTTATAAAATTTTAATTCATATATGTTTTTCATGATTTGGACATTTAAAAAAGAGGTTCTCCCAAAAATGTTTTTTGTTTCCAGATCTAATACTCTCCATTGTGCTTAACAATAAAAAACACAAACAATGAAAAAAAATACCAAAGACATATGAAATAGTGTGCTAAAAAGCTGTTTTTGAAATGAACGCTTCATATTCAGTATCGCCATCAGATGTTATTCAAAACAGATTTGAATATTACAAATGTATTGATGTCGTTTGTTTTTGTGTTATGGCGAACATTTCTAAAAATTATCTTATGTTGTATTCTTTTTACTATGCACGTACTTGTTTCATCATCATTACTGTACACTTGTTTGAATAGACTTGACTAATAACTTTTTTTAACATGAAAGAGTTATGACGCGACAATGCTGTGTTTATTTTTAGATATAATAACTGTGATAAAACCATTGTCTAAGGATGTCAAGAAAAGGGACATACATTATACAATTTCAAATTAAAAAAAAATTTAATGAAGATGTAGTATCATCTTGAAAGTAGAAAAAGAACACTTTAAATTATTTCAATATTATTAGACAAACTTTACTTACTTTTTTATAGTTAGAACTTGATATTGGACAAAAATTCATAAAACAAGGCAGGGTTCGCATTATTTTTTCCTTTGTTTGATTGCAAATGTAACATTAGGTCTTGATTTTTCCCTATATGACAAACACTATATCATATATTATTTATTATAATCACTATACATTTGATTGGTGTAAGTCTAGTCACTATATATATAAACGCTATATCGCGAGGAGCTTTATTATTTGAAGTTTAGAGAACAAGACAAAAGAAAAAGAAAAAAAAGAACAAATTAAAAACTTAAAGTTCGGCATAATTATCAACATAAGAGCGATGGCATTCTCTGTAGTTTTTTTTTATTACATTTACCGTATCGAATCATTTCAGATCTTCTCTGTTCTAGTGGGCTTTCTTTTATTGTACAGTCATAGTATTTTTTATTTCCGTATTTCCTAATGTTTTTCGTATGTTTTCACATTAATTTCTCATTATTAATTAGTGTGGTAGCACATATGCACAACACATCTTTCGATATTTACGGTTTAGTTCTAAAAATAAAAAGGACCTTTTCTTTCAAATATTACAAGTATAAGAAATAGTTAAACGCAATAAAACTCGAGATTTTTGTATTTTATTTTTTTTTCATTTGTAGAAAATAATACGGTAACAGCTTAGCTCCACTGTTTATCACCAGAATATCCAATTAACGTCTGCTGAGACTGTAACACAGGTCAAATGTAACACATCCGATTATCTCGTCAAAAACAGCGAAAAGATTATGAATTTTCCATTTCAGACATAATTATCAATACTGAAGAGGCAATCAACAAATTAAACACAAGATAAAATTGTTTTACAATTGCCCGGATTATCAACATGATTGTTTATGCTTCGGCACGAGCGGAAGTGTCCTGTTCTGAAGAGATAATGACTCTTTATATCTTTCCATAAGAGATTTCTTTTGACATGTTGCGGCTTTTGACATATGGACAAAATATGTAAAAGGAAACTTTTTTTTTAAATTAATCATATCGTGACGATTGTTTGAAGTTTTTTATTCATATTGTCTGCTGTTCTGTCTCTTTAAGAAGAAACAGGAATTCCTGTTTTGTCGTTGCATGGATATTACTTTGAGGTATTTCAACAGGCAATTTTGGGAGGTTGTTGTGTTGTAAGGCTATACTGTCTCATACGCGTAAATTAGGCACATCTTTTAATTTGAAGTTGTTACTTTACAAGAATATGGTTTATCTGCATTGTATAAACTACATGAGGATAAAGAGTAGATGCAGATGGGACAATTTAGGTTTACTTTAAATAAAGCTAAATATGAAAAGAATTTCGGCCGTTCTTTGGATTTTTTACAGAGACGAAAGAATTTATTTTTTTTCATTTTTCGTATATAAATACAAAAGCACGCTGTAAAAATATAATAGTGTATCTATATTCATCGTGCTGTAGATTTAAGAGAATCAAAAAGCATTCTGCTGCTATCTTGAAGGTTGTCATGTTTTCAACGAAGGTTGCAAAATATAATTGAGTATAAAGGTCTGTTGTCACTATCAAAAGTTTTCTAGGTCAAAGTTTTTGATGGATTTTTTGAAAGTGACAACCTCAATGAAAATTTCATCAAAATCTTTGAACGACTTGTATGGAATAGAATCTCATACTATTTTTCTAGAAACTTGGATGTACTTTCACAGTGCTGTTTTGTTTCTTTGACCAAGTTTTTGATGAAAAACTTTGATAGTGACGACCGATGACTTGGACCAAGTTTATCTGGTCGAAGAAACCTTTGACCAAGTATTTAATAAGAAAAAAAAAGAGACTTTGATAGCGACAACAGGTGACTTCGACCAAGTTTACCTGGTCGAAGAAACCTTTGACCAAGTTAACTTTGATAGTGACAACCGGGCTAAAGAGATCAGAAAAATAAAACAACTTACCTGCAAAAGATGTGAACCTAGTTCCTTTTCTAATGGAGACTTTGGTGGAGATCTGTGGCCCCATGCTTCACCAAGGCCTAAAATATGAAACGATTATTATGAACAATTAAATTTAAATTACTTTTGTAAGAAGTATTCATTTCTCATAATTTTTTATTATCGTTAGAAATAGTTCGACACATTTCGAACAATTGGGCTCTGTCATCCCGTAAAGCTTCCAAAAAAAGGTACGAATAGGATATTTACATGTAACACGCAAACAAGAGCAAACAAACCAAATCCGTCTACTGTTTACTCTCGTTCAGCCTATTGTGCAAAACCTAGTAGCCGTTCCTTTACTTTAAAACCTGAACAGTACATGGCGCTTACTAGCACCAATTATGTTTAATTTTTATTAATGTGTGATGCTTTTGTTTTAATTAACGAAGGTATATCCCTGTCTTTCAATTTTACAACTTTAAAAACCAGTATGAAAATTTCAGGCAACCGTCTGAAATAATGATACCATAGTCTCTTAAAAATACTTTATTTTTATTGAAATTGGTTGTATTTACAAATAGAATGTAGATATATGATCAAGATTTTTCATTATGACTTGTTTTTATTGAAATTTCAAATGAACTTTGTCGAATTTCAGCCAACTTGTGCATCTGAACAATTTTTCGCATGTTCACAACATTTTCCGTGAAAACACCTTTATGGTTAAATTTCCTTAAAATAAAGACAAATTAGAAGTCGTGAACTATTTGCCACTGGACGTTACGCAAATAATAATCAATCTATCAAAAATATAATTTTATATCGGTCCCACTTTGAACTTGTTCATACCTTTGCATAGTCAAAGGATTTTTCACGGCTTATACTAATTGTCTGGACTATGGGCATTTGACAGACGGTATAGACACTAGCCTGTTTTTGAAGACTGTGTTCCGCAGCTGCCAATTGTGTGCATAGCCCACATCTCTTCTTATTCATATGCATCTGAAGTCGCACATGGTTGTATAATGCTGTATAACATTCTGGTTTACTTTAAAAGGTTGGGGTACAAAACTTGTGCTCGAAACACCAAATCCAGTATTTTGATTGGTTGAACTCTGAGTATGGGTACGACTTTATGACCGCATGGCCTGATCTGTTTTCTTTGTTTCGGGTATTTTGTTTTTTCTTCTAAAATTTAACCTAGCTTAAAATTAGTTATTGAAATTTTTAATATTATGTTTAATTTCAATTATTGATGCTTTTGTTTAATTTACACAAGTATATTCCTGTCTTTCTATTTTAAATGCTATGATACCCTTTTAGTGAAGGTCAAATATGACAATAAAAACTTCTTTATCAATGTTTAAAGAAAACAATGTATGGTATCAAAGCAAACAAACTTCTGTGGAAATACAAACTGAAATATCACGTTCCCAAGACTATAAACTGTCGGATAATAACAATTATACTGACACGAGCCAACACAGAAAAAGTCAGTTTAAAGGCCCGTTGTTTCATTCAAATAAAACTCTATTTAATTACAGTTTCTTTTATTGTAAATAGCATATTAGGAGACAAAACCCAATAGGAAATACCACCCAATCTCGTTAAATCTCGTTAATGAGATTCCAATCAATTAGTCACCCATATTGTTATCACGTCTGGTGTACGATAGAAAGCAAATAATTGGCCGGAATCCAGCCCGGAGCTTAGCTGGTTAGCGATACATCGTATTGCTTTTTCCTCATCTTGGTGTGTTGAACCTTACATTTTGCCAATTTCTAAATGTTTTGTCTTTTGAAAACATTTTGTTTGGTTTATGTTAGCTTTACATCGCACTAATCTATTTAATAACACATAAAACCTCAAGCAGTTACATCAATACTGTATATTATTCATACAAATTATAGGTTTGTGTTCTGTCTAATGCCTTTTCTCGTTGTTTCTCCTCCTTTTCAACGTTACATGGTCCGCGTAATTAAGTTTAGTAAATGTAGATTTTTTTCATGTAATTGTAATAAATTGTAATGGCTGGTTTTTTCTATTAAAGAAATAGACGAATTAAAAAAGATGAGTACTAATTTGAAGAAAACAACACCGAACTATTAATAGAACAACCTAGGCCACACTAGACCCAGATATTTGTTATTCAATATGGCAAACTTTTGGGAATAAAACTGCAATAAACACAGACGATTTTCAAGGTTTTGCTCTTTGTGACAATCAGCTTTACGTATGTTACAAGGATAAATGGTATAATCTGCACATGTCGCAGGTTAAATTTAAGACATTCTTAAAACTATAACATTTTTTATTACTTTAACTGGATTTTCTACTGGTCTCTTTCTAGATAATTGTTATCTTTTATTTTTGAAACATGCAGAGAAAAACAATTAAGAAAATAAAAAACACAAAATAAAACAAACAAAATTTAAAATGTGAAATAAAGGGTAAGTAAAATAATAAAAATAAGTAAAGATACTGAAATAGAATTATATAGCGTTTGGTTTAACCCATTATAATCACGTAAGTTAGTAAGCAAGTAAATTGTATGTCAACATGAGCTTTGAGGAGCTCCAATAACCGACAAAAATCAGCATAATTACATAAAAAACCTGTCCAACAAAAATTAAAAGCATGCAGCATAAAAAAAAACATGGACAAAAGAACACAATTAAAAGCAAAGCAAATAACTTGAGACATAAGAACCAAAACTGTTAATATTGAAATACGTTAATGGTATTTTATTAATTTTTTGGTAATATCCAGGGTTGAAACTTGAAAAGCTAAACATTAAAATAATCTGATACATTTACTGAAAATAATCGGATTCAAAATACTGAACTGGTCAGTAGTATTGGTCAGGAAATATTGTATTTATATCTATATTGTAATTTATTTTGAATTTTCCCCCAATGAAATGTGGAAGAGCTGGTATAACCGAAATCAGAGACAATGATACATATGTCGAAATTGGCGGGATAAATAAATAGATAGATAGATTTGTTTTAATCAGATGTCAACATAAAGCATTACAAAAGTAGTATAAAAAAGCCAATAGCAGACGTGTTATAAACATATTTAAATTATAAAATCTTAAAACAATGGTTGATACCTAATCTGCTTTCATTGAGGAACAAGAAGTTTAGAATAGACGTATTTACATTTGTATGCAAATTTGTCCGCCATTACTTAAATTCACACAAGTTCCCTCAAAATTTGACACACTATTTTTTTAAAAAATGACGTTATAATTAAAAAGTGATTGTTGCTAGACGTCAGGAGGTTATTCGGAGCAGATCTAAGGTCATTGGAGACAAAATTCACCTTAATACCAAAAGTGTAAATATGTTTATTCTCTAATACGACAACCGTCTGTTACATTATTTCCCATTTGTAAACAGAAAATATAGATGTATCATGTATAGTTCTTTGGTCTGTGGTGGATAGTTGTCTCATTGTTAATCAAACCACATACTAGCTTCACTTTTGTAAACTGTATACTCTTTTCTATGTTTGCAAGTCTGAAATCAAAATAATTAGGGAAAGGAACGCACAGTACAAAGTTGGCAGGTCTTCCACACCTGTGTAGCATTCCATTTAATCGCATTTACTTTCCACAAATAAAGTAATATTATTTTCTAAATATTAATATATATCCTTATCAGGATACATAGATACCCGTAACATTTGCTCAGCAAGGCCCCTACACCACAAAACCTGAATAAACAATGTAAAACCAGCAGGACCCGATAGAAGTTTTACGTCTTGGTGATTGGTAATACCTCAGACACTGATTGTTACCATTTCGTTGGTCACAGGTGTGAAAGTAAGAAATTTGTGACACCTTGGGAAACTTAACAAATACCTTCCAATTGAAATTTACAACTTTTTATCTAATCGTAAGCCTGTATTGACCAATTTGTCATGATAAGACATACTATGGACTTAATTGAAACGTATATCTCACATCAGATCGTCAATTTGTATTATCAAGCATATGATTAGTTCAGCGCAGTGTAGATTTTGATAAGTGTAAATAGCTGAGATAATAAGAGATAGTTTATAATGTAGATTGTTACACTGAATTATCATATTACGTAACAGATTGCTTTCATTTATATAAATTATAATATTCATTTGAAATAGACAAGGCTAAATGTAATGCCCGCTTAGTTAGTGCGGAATAATCTATTATAATGCATACATGCAACTTTCGATTGCCAAACGTTTCTTGTGTTTGTTTAAATAAAGAATCATTCTTAAATATACAATTAATCTTAACGAAAAATCAATGTATATAAAGGCTTCATGTATGTTATTAATACTTTGAAGTTCTTACAACATGATGTCATATGCAAGAACAAATCATCGAATTATAAATGCTTATAATATACAAAGGAGAAACAGATCTGCTAATAGATATCGCATATATTGAGGATTTTCATGTAAGCTGAATCAGAAGCATTCTAATCCAAAACAAAATTTTGTCTATATAAGAGAATGATAAATCTTGGTTCTTTTCTTTCAGATAAAAAATGTTATCATCATAGTTTTGCGTGGCCTATGAAATGAAATTTTATCAAGCCATACTATTTACAGCATGTTTTAAAACTGTTACAAAATGCTTATAATGATATTGCTAAAAAAAAGATTAAAAAATCTTTCAAATATATCATTTACACTCAGTTGAAGAAGATAAAATTCCAAACATTTTTTCGACCTCCAAAAACTGAGCAAGTGTGTGAAAACAGGAAGAGAAAGTTATACTTCTTTACGTCAAACAGACAAATTCCATTTTTTAAAGCAAAAAAATATTAAATGTGAAATCTACTTTTTTTTATATTTCTGGAGGGTACTAAAATTATATATCACTTAAAAATGCAATGAAAGTATATGTATTTCGGCTGTTGTGTGCTCTTTGGTCGGGTTATTGTCTCTTTGACATATTCCCCATTTCCATTCTCAATTTTATATTAATTAATTTTCCAATTGTAAGCAATAATATTTCTTAATTTTATGTAAAGATGCGACGAAGACGTTTCTAGTTCTGACTTACAGTCTACAAAAAAGTAGGTATGCACATTTTTATAGTTCA